CATTTATTTTGTTGTCCAAGAATAATTTTGTTTGATGCAATACGTTCGGGTGATTTGCCAATAATTTCAGTCACAAAATCAAAATATCGTCTTGTATCAGGCGCAAAACCGGAAAAAAATGACCGGAAGCGAAAATTACCCGACCCCTAAAAGTTATCTGGCCTAGTGCACGAGAGAGACCGCACTTTAATCTTACTATGACTTCCAACCTCTAATCTTAACTAATTCAAAGACCTTTCCTCTATCAGAACAAAATGTTTTCTGTTTTCGTCCATTTCCCTCTTTGAAGCAAACGTGTCTTAGACAATTTGTGATACTATCGACAATTCCTAATTCCCATTTCTGAAATTTCTGCGATTCCTTCTGATGTTTTCCAAAATTCCAAACGGAAACGGAACGGACAGTAAAAAAAACTAGTAGGATATAGTAAATTTGTTTTTTAGTTAGTCGACGGGAAACTTTAGCATAGCGGAATTATCGGGAGGAAACGAGAACGTCAGGGACCGATGTAGGCAATAGAACAAATAAACAGAACTTTAGAGAGAATGGAAGTAACACACATTAAACCAAGTTAAAAGTAATCTAACGATTTTTATATAAGCTCATTTCATTGCTTTAGTTCCATTTGTAAGATGCATTTGTTACAAAATGTTAAAATCCGCCACAAATATAAAGCGTTGACATGGGAATCATTGTTGATGCTATTTCAATTCATTCTATGAGAAGAATCTTTCAATGTTTCTAAATAAAGAATTGGAACTGCGCAATGCGCAACTAATTTTAAAATATATGTTAATTTTTCTTGTTTCAAGCGCCTAAGTATCACATTTCATTAATAGTTCCATAGATAAAAAGTTCACTGCCGCCCATGGCCAAACAATTTGATTGGCGTTTGATTTCCTTTATCCCAGATGATCTATGTATTCATTCAATTTCAAATACTTTTATAAGTAAAAAGTTTGCATTCGGTTTACAATGGTCGGATGCGAAAGGCATGTGAATTTTTGATCATTCGATAGCCTTTTGGCATGCTTATTAATATGGCTATAATCTTGCCTATTGATTTCCATGCAATTCAGTTCTAACTAACGGAGATTGTAAGCGAACTCGAACATTTCAAACAAAGTTTCTTTCACACGAATAGATGGATAGCGGAAATCAGGAAACAGAGGAAGACCAAACGCAGCGACGATGCATGCATGTCTTTTTTATTTGATTGTCGCGAATTTTCTAGAGCGGTATCAAGGCGCCATCAAGTCGATAAATGATTAGTTACTGGCGATAAGCAATTAAGCGGACGTGACGTATTCTTTCCAGGAAGAATGATATGTTAACTCTATAATTCTCTAGAACACTCACTCTGAATAAACGGGACAATTTTGATTAATGCAGAGTTCCCACACTAATTCCTACCAACTTAACATTTGCGAACTTTAATTACGTGTGTGTTTGTAATACTAAACAATGTCACCTGAATCTCACCCGGAATTTGGGGGAGGAATACGGTTCGTGTCACAAAAAAGAGTCCGAGATAGCCGAAGGCGAGATCGGCATAAATCACCTTAAATTCTACGTCATACGATTCCAGTGTCGAAATGTCGAGTTCATGCCATCGGCATAGATCAACCGTTAGGCCGGAATTTTCGGCAGTAATACGTTCGGGTCAAGAAATACTGAGCCTATACTTAAGGCGAGCTCGGCAAAGCTGACTGCTCGCCTGGCTGACAACGAACTGAAAACTCGTTCTTTGGCTCTAATAATAACGGTACCGGCTTCGGTTATTATAACTTCTTGAATAACGGTTCCGGTTCCAAGTAAGGGGCTCATAAATGTAATCGGTTCTGTTCGGTTCCGGTTCCAACTCCTGCTTAAGGTACAGTTCGGCCTGAAATGCAAAGATACCTCGTGTCCCTCCCTCTAAAGGTTGACAATATTCAGCTTTTCGCTGGCAAAAAATCTGACGAACCTGAAGAATTGGAGGAGCGGGGAAATCTGAAAATTGAATTGATAAATCAAGAGGACACAAAGCACCAAAGGAAACCTCCGAGGTCCTGAGTTGGTTGCCTAACGCCGTCATCTGTGTCGGCTGTCCCCCAATCACCGGGCAGAGACACTCTTGGTAGACTACCAACCGTTAGGCCGGAATATTAGGCAGTAATACGTTCCGGTCAAGAAATACTGACCCTATACTAAAGCCGAGCGAGCCGAAGGCGAGCTCGGCATAGTTGACTGGCTGAAAACGAACTGAAAACTAGTTCTTTGGCACTAATTATAACCGTACCGGTTTCGGTTATTATAACTTAACGGTTCCGGTTCCAAGTAAAGGGCTCATAAATGTTATCGGATCCGGTACCGGTTCTTTTCGGTTCCGGTTCCAACCCCTGGTTGTAATCTCTGACCATCAGCCGGGTTAGATTCAAATATGAGGCTCAATGGATGTAGTGCGTTAGTAAAAATGTGGCAATTGCACCAAACAATTTTATTTAAGCTTCTCAAATGTTACAATTGCCTCAAATAGGCACACAGTTTCGTTTGGAAATAAACTGACCCTTAAAGAGGATTTTTGTTACAATAATGAGTTGTACAGTCTCGACACTGGATAATTTTTCGTGTCTGTTTCATAGAAGGACAAGGTGATTTGCCCTGCGCAACGTCGCATTGTCTCACATATTTCATTGACCCGTTCACTACGGAAGAAATAGAACAATAGGAATTGCAATTATTAATCTTTTATTTACCATTTTCCGAATATTCAAGGCATATGCGCGATCCACCTTTAGGTGGATATGGACACATATCTTCGTCTGTAACTCCCGATCCACTTTGGCAGTTAGCGTGGCCCTTTGTGCTGTCGCAATCGTAGCATCTCAGTGCTGAAATTGTTTTGAGTCTTCTGAAAAAGATTGGTGTAAGAAAGTACTCACCTCCCATAACAGCATGAACCAAAAAGAGAGTAGCCAATAGTGTTTTGATATACATGGTGAAAATACAACTGGCTCACCTGACACACGTAATTATACCACCTACCCAAAAAGTAAAGGGAATTAGATTAGATTAATTTGGTGGTTCAAGTGTCGCAAAACATGGTATCGTTATCAAACGTACTCATCTTTAGAGGTTTGTTTACGGCCTCATTTAGAAGCATGTTTTTTTGTTCATTAATTTTGGATGGATTTTATTACGTCCATGCAGAAGTTCCGCACCTGTACCCTGTTCACCGAAACCCGAATATCAAGATAAAATGGAACCTCTACGGCACTGGCAAAAATTTTAAGGACAATTAATTTTTTTCATCCACGGCTAGCTCAGTAATAAAAATGTTTTTTATATCACTTATCTTGCGGAAGTTTGGCCCTTTATCGTCCTCTTCGTGATGAATGCAAATTTTGCCGGAAGAAAACTTCGTATGAATCGCAAATCCAAGCAAACCGACTTCAATTTGTGATTGTGATTATCCAAACGATTACGCCAATGACACACTTTTGTCCACGTTCTCTATGAAGTGGTGTATGTGTACATTTCATACAAGTTTTAAAAAAAACTTTTTGAAAATGATTAAGCGACCACCTGTTATATTCTGCACTAATTCACAGAATCAAACAGGGCCAGGTTGCGATGGAAACGAAACGAAAAACGGTACTTGTGAATGTTGTCGGCTAGATCCTACGCTGTGTTAACTAGGCGGTTCTTTTATGAGCTAGGAGGCATAATCGGGAAGGGAATTGAACAAAATGCAGAATTTTGTGCGTAAGATATGACCAGAACAAATAAAATATATCACCCACACAACAGGGCGATACTTAAAAAAAACCTTTTATGGACAAAAAACCTGGCGTAACTCATACAAATTGTAACAGTTTGTTTTTACCATTACATAAACAGTCGCATTTGTTTTATGGTGACTCTCTTTTTCGACAAGCACGTTGAGCGAAGCGGGTCTAATTGCACAAATTATTGAATAGTGTTTTGGCCCTGTTGTGGTGGTTAATGTCGTAATTGTTGGACGCGAGCTAAGGCACTTTTCTCTCCAATTTTGGGAGAATATATTGGATTTAATAATCTGCAAGCGGAAAAGACGAAGTACAAAACACATCCGCGATCAATTTAGGCAAAAATGATCAATTTCGTGTACGTAAAAACGTACCTTCATTCCAGCATCGGCTTCAAGTAATTTAACACGAAAAGTACATGTAAGAATGCCCGTTAAAATTATATAAATAGAAGTAATGTTAATTAGAGGACCTCCTTCTTGTATTGCTGAGGCACCGTCCGGCAGCGGGAACGAGATTGAGGAAGCAACATAATATGACAGTTCTATTGCCATTTCCAGAAAACTGACATAAGGGTAGTAGGGGTTATAGAGAACGGGTTATCGTGCGTTTCTTTGCTTTTAATATAATTTTCCGGAAATGGTAATTCAATCTTTTTTTGCTGGGGGTTTCCCATACCTCCAGTCCCTCCGCTAATACGTTCCCTGCAGTACTTCTTATTATTTTGTTCCCAAAACCCATCATGAGATTGTTGTAGACCTAACATTTTGTGGAAGGAAGCGTTACTGGGGGGTATGAAATATCCCCCATCATATTAACGACGGTTTATACACTGCCTTTTTTTGAGCCCCGAAAAAAAATTGTCTCAGATCGACCCGGAAAAAAAATTTTCTAATTTTCTTATAGAATGTGGCCTGTAGAATCCATAATTTCAAACAGTTCCAAGATTGGGCTACTAGCTCAAAAGTTACAGCCCTTTGAATTTTTTTTCGAAATTGGTTTCTAGTCTATAACTTTTGATTGAGAAGTCTGATCGAAAAAGTACGAATTGATTTGGATTCTACGCACCCAAATTAATAAGAAGTAGTATAGTAAGGCCGATCCTGGCTCAATTTACATTGAAAAGTGCCATATGATTGAAGTGTTAGCGTTTCAAGGTCAAAGTGGTGTTGAAGGTCAAAGTGGTATTGCGTAAGTGGGGGGGTGGGTGGATTTCAAGGTCGAGTGTTGAGAAGAAAGGGGTGTATTGTTTGTGTTCTTTGGAGGGGGGTGGTGGTGTCGGTTCAAGGCCGTTGGTAAGAGGGGGTGATGGCTGAGGCCATTGGATTTCAAGGTCGATTGGTGAAAACAAAGGGGTGTATTGTTTGTGTTCTTCGGAGGCTTCAAGGTCATGTGTGGGGATGTGTCTGTCTGAAAGAATGCGTGCCGATGCTGGCTCACTTGAAGGTCAAATCGATTTTGGGTCGAAGCTGAATGCGTGGCGATCCTGGCTCACTTTCAAGGTCGTATCGATGCATTGGTGTTCAAGGTCATGTGGAGGTGTGTCCGTCTGAAAGAATGCGTGCCGATGCTGGCTCACTTGAAGGTCATATCGATTTTGGGTCGAAGCTGAATGCGTGGTGATCCTGGCTCACTTTCAAGGTCGTATCCATCCTGGCCCACTTAGCATTGAAGAATATATGAATAAAGTGTTGGTGTTCAAGGTGAAATTGGTGTGGTGTTGCGTGGTCGTTTCAAGGTTTAAAAATATTATTTTTCCCTAAAAAGTCTTGTAGGAAGGACGGGCAGGCAAAGTGTACAACAGTCGCTTTATTTCCCATTCAGGAAAAGGCTAGGGAACAAGCGCCTGTTCTCATTTTAAGTGTCAAAAAAAGTATTTAGGTATAAATTTTGAGTTCTGCTTAAATTCCGAGTTTTTGAAAGTTTCTCTAGTAAATCGTACCGGTCGACAGCGCCCTCCAAAAAACAGTTTGAGCCACGGACGGACGGACAAACTTCCGCAATTTTGACCACTCTTACTTGGAAAATGCGCTTGGTTGTATATGTCAAGTGTCAAAAACAATATTTCTATAATAGATTCCGAGATAAGAAAAAGTGTTTTCTCGAGAAAATTTGGTGTAGTCGATATTTGGTAAACAAAGGAAGGTTATACTGCTATTGACATTTCCATAAAACTGCCGTGAGGGTAGTAAGGGTTGTAGGGAAACGGTTATCGAGCCCAGCTTTGCTTTTAATATAATTTTCCCAAAAAGGTCATTAAATCTTTCTTTTCTGGGGGGTGTTTCATACTCCTTAGACCCCCAGGTGCTACGTACTCTGTAGCACTTCTGAGGAGGTGAGAATCAGACATTTTTCCCAAACCCTACCATCATATTCTTGTAGACTAGGTATTTTGCGGAAGAAAGCGTTACCGGACGATCTGGGGGGTATGGAATACCCTCCCTCCCCAGCACATTATACGACAGTTTTATTGCCATTTCCAGACAACTGCCGTGAGGTTAGTATGGCTTGTAGGGAATCAGTTATCCCCTTTTAATATAATTATCCGGAAAAGGTTTACAATCGCAATTTTCGGGGGGGGGGGGGTGTTATTTCATACCACCAAGACCCCCCGGTGCCACTTTCTCTGCGGTACGGAGAAGAGGATCTCATAATCCCCTAATCACCTTAGACTTAGGAAGGTTTTGTCTGAGGGGCGGGAGGGGGGTATAGAATACTCCCCAGTACACAATTTCCAGAACACTATCATGAGAGTTATACGGAAATGGTTACCGGGTCGTTTTTTTGCTGGGTGGTTTTGAACCCCTGTCGCTTTACACTCCACCCACCCTGGAGGGGGGGGGGTTTCTCGGTGCCCCCGGTGCTATGTTCTGTGCAGTACTTCTTAGGAAACGAGTATGTGATCTTTTTTCCTAAAACCTGCCAGAAGAAAGTGTTACCTTTTTGGTTTCTTCAGATTAAAATTTTCCAGTTAATGTTTCTTTTGGTCCATTTTTTCGATTTTAAATGCAAAACTTTGCTCGGTTTCAATAGAATGTGTTGCCAAAATTTTCTAGAAATGAATGTTTCGAATTTAGAAATGAAGCCAAAAGTGAAACACAATTGATGCCATCTCAGGGTACGTTTTGTAACTAATGTATCGATTTTATTGTAGACGTAACGAAATAATTGAAAAACCTCCAACATTAGTTATTATTCGTCGAATTTGTTCATTGCGAGTGATTTCTTGCCAAAACTAATTGAATTTCAATTTTTTGGCCAGAGACCACCTTGCAAGTGTCGCCACAAGCGAGTAGCGGGTGGACCGCCAACTGCTCTACAAACCGAACGGGCACTGTAAGCGAATTGGGGGTGTAAAGGATCTGTAATTTTATTGACATGACGAAGTTCAAATCCGGAAAACCGTTGACCGACCAAACAGACGCAACGCATCATCATCCCTTAACGAAATTTTCTCATACTGGTCATGCGAGTATGCAAATGAGGGGTCAGCATTTTTAATTTTCAACCCCTTCGGATTCTCCGTACGAACCGGTCGGGGTCTTCTTAATTTCACATCATCCCGATGGGCATAATCGTTTTCGAGATATAAGAGATTTACCTGCATTCCCCCTTTCTGGTCAGATTTTTTTTTCTAAATCGAGAAGAAAGGCGAAAGAGTTATGCAGGCAGCTGGTCTTTATTAAGTGACCTTTTTCGCCACATTTGCATACTCGCCTGACCAGTCTTCGCGTGCCATTGTTCATTAGGGGTTGCAATTGTAGTGACCCGGATGACCCCTTCTCTGTTGCTTGAAACAGCCGTTAACGTGCCATCGATGCGAATTGCGCTTTCGGCCACTTTTATTGAGATGTGGCGGTTCGTGTCAAAAGTGTGTTAGTTATATGAAATTCCACGTAAGTTTCTTAAGCCAAGTTTCCCTTTTAAACGATTTTCGGAAAATTGACTTTCTTCAAGGAAAATAATTGTGTTTACGCCAAGTTTCGTTTGAAAAATTTAAAGCGTCTTAAACACCGCGTCGCGGGAATTTACTAATATGACAAGCCACTTTGTAATTACTCCCTTTTTATTTCTGGAAAACTAAGAGATTTTCTCCTTTCATAGATGAGCTTCTCATAAATTCCACTGCTTGCATTGCAGTTTTTACGATTTTAAAAATCCGAAAATATCAGAATGTGATCAATCGCAAATTTCCCAAATTTTACGAATCACGTGTTTGTACCTCGACTTGTACTGACTTCTATGATTCAGAAAATATCAAAATTTCCCCCAATTTTTCCATTT